GTGTGTGTGTGTGTGTGTGTGTGTGTGTGTGTGTGTGTGACCAGTCTCGACTAAATGAATTCAGACAGGCAAATTATATCGACTTCCTCCTCATCATCAGTTCTCTGCTGCATCTTTTCTTGTCTCAGTTTTTGTCTTCCTCACATTCACTAAGTGACCTTCGTTGACAGATATATAAAAATAGTATTTTTATATGACAGTTTTATGTATGTTAAATACACAGATATACAATAGTTATATGTTTTAGGGTCTATATAAATAAAATAACCAGATGTCGGATGATTTTTGGTCTTATTACATGAAGCTCCACGTCATGAACCAGATGATAAACTGAACAGATTTATTCCCTGTAGCTAATCCCAGTGTTGTTAAAGGAACATCAGCTGTTGATGGRTGAAGTTTTATCTGACTGGAATGCAGCTGTTGGAAACCAGTCGAGCCACTAAGTTTTGTTGGACCGGTTTTATCAAATCCAGTTTTCATCTGTTCACACCATCGTTCCTGTTGTTCTGGATCAGAACCAACACGGTAAAGTCTGTAGTTCTTCTCTACTTTTCAGTACAWTGCTCTAACTTCTGAAGCAATGAAGAGAAAAAATGTTATTTTTTTATATAAAGTTACGTTTGGATATTTTTTTTCTTTCTAGCTATAATTTCCCATTTAAGTTAGCATTTTACTACTTTTGCCTTTTTAGCTAGTGTTTTGTTTTTTAACTGTTGAGCTTCTTAACTTTTAGCTGTATAGTATTTAGCCAGTGTAACTTTCAGTTAGCAGTTTGCTCCTTCTAGCTGCTGTTTTGTTATTTTAATTACTGTTCTGCTACTTTCAGCTTATGTTCTGCTTGTTTTAAATTTAGCTTGCGTTTTGCGAGTTGTTTTAGCTTTTATCTGTGGTTTTGCTACTMATTTAATGTTTAGTTTCTGGCTAGTGTTGTGCTGTATTTTTAGCTGTCTTTGTGCACCTGTTAGCTTTCATTTAGCTTCTTTTAGCTTGTGTTCTGCTTGTTTTTAGGTGTAACAGCTCAGTTTTAAATTCAGCAAACTCATTCAGCTCCTGTTTTAAAGCTCTGCAGGTGTTACCACTMTCAGGTGGTTGAAGTGAGAACAGAGATGGAGAAGGAAGACCTCTGAGGAGAGAGCAGCTGGAAGATCAAGTTTGAAACTCTTAAAGAAACTGATCTGAACTACAGAGAGTGAAACAAAGTCACTCAAACTCTCTGAAACTTGTCAGATGAATGTCACATGATACAACATGTAACTGCAGGAAGAYGAGGATAAAAAGTGGACAAAGTTCAACATCATAAAGTGTTTGTGTGTCGGAGCAGAGCTGCAGCTGAAACATCTGAAGAAAAATAATCTGAATTCATCTTTTCTTTACTAACATCTGATTCTAATCCAGGTGAGTTCAGATTAACCTTTTTGACAGMTTCTACAGGCAGCTTTAACACAAAACTCAGAGCTTCAGTCAAACAGGAAGTTCCTCTTTTCTCTTCTAAAAAATGTAAGAAATCACTTTTTCTGTGAAAAAGTGAACGCTGGGGGACTTCACTGAAATCTGATGAAGCTAAAAAAAAAAGCAGTTTTCTGAGCCTTTATTTTAGCTTTCAGCAACAAAAGTTACATAAATGTTTAAGTTATTAAGCATCTGCTTGAATATCTGTTTTTAAATGAGCACAGAATAAAAAGGAATTAAAACAAACTTTAACCCAGAAGTACTGAGATGTGGTTCTTGTTCCACATCATCTGAAGGTCAACGTCCAGATCTGGGGTCGGATTTATAAAACTGGCGTACGCACAATTTGAGCCCAGAAACATGCATACGCCACTTTTTACACCAAGGTTGTGATTTATAAAATCCAAACTTGACGTAAAACTGTGACACAGTGAAGTGAGGAATTAGAGCCACGCTGTGTAATGATCACTGTCAGATATTTAATTTACCTTCAGAATCAGACTTAGATTTTTATTCAGCTTTATCATCAGCTTTATTAATATTTATGTTTCTGCTGCTGCTGAGCCATGAGGACCTTTGAAATAAAAAACTTAAATCTTAAATAAAAGTTCACACATGCATTCATCTGCTTCCTCCTCAGACAACCCTGACCCACAGACCCCTCCCTGACCCACAGACCCCTCCCTGACCCACAGATAACAGAGCAGGCAGGAGGGGGAGGACGGGGAGAAGAGTGATGAACTTATTTCTAACTTTATCTGACTTATTTAATTTTATTTATTGTTTTATCGTCCTGCAGGCTCTGAGAGAAAATTAAATTGATCTAAGTTTTTGGGAAAAAAAATGTGAGATTGCTCTAAACGTCTGTAAACCTGCGAAACGAGGGAAAATCTGTGTCAATTACAGACATTTTGTTCACGTGAGCAGTTGTCAGCACCTGTCATCCTCCAGACGCACAACGCAGTGCGTGTCTGTACCAAGCCCTGATCAGCTGACTGATTTACATGCATCTTAACATTCATGAGGTACTTTACTTTGACTGTTTATGGTTGAGTGTGGGCGTGTAGAGGGTAGAACCTGAGACGGGACCTTGTGCGCAAACTCTGAGGTGCAGCTGGGTTCTATAAAGGAAAGGATTTTTTTTTTTTTGGCATATGCCATTTTCACCTTTTGGCCGTACGTTCATTTTTAGTATGGTTTCCATGCAGTCCTTTATAAATGAGGCAGTGTAGTTTTGAAGGTTCCATTTTGTTTACATCAGGCTCTCCAGTAAAGTCATCTTTTTGTGAAGACAGTTAAAGTGAGTTGATAATAAACCTGTTGTTTTTGATTTTTTGACTCTCAGAGTTCAGACATGTCTGCTGGCAGCAACCTGAGGTCTGAGGATCAGTTCCMGTGCTCCATCTGTCTGGACCTGTTCACTGATCCGGTCAGCACCTCATGTGGACACAACTTCTGTAAAACCTGCATCASRCAACACTGGYACAGTGATGTTCTGTACGACTGTCCTCTGTGTAAAGAACAGTTCCCCTCCAGGCCTCAGCTCAAAGTCAACACCTTCATCAAAGAGATGGTGGATCAGTTCAGACGTAACCCTGAGGGAACTGTAGTGAGAGCTGTGCCTSAGCTGGATGAGGACCTCATACAGACGATGAAGATGATGATGTCTGAGGCTGAGCTGAAGAGCATCCAGCAGTTTGAGGTGGATCTGACTCTGGATCTTAAAACTGTAGARCATCGCGTCATGCTGTATGGTGATTTAATTTGCCGTGGATATGCGTGGAAAAAGCTTTCAAAGAACCCAGAGAGCTTTTCTGGTTTTGTTTCTATTTTAGGGAACCAGTGTTTCTCTTCAGGCAGATTTTACTTTCAAGTTCAGGTTATAATAAACACTGACTGGACTTTAGGAGTGACCAGAGGGTACATCAAGAGGAAGGGAAAAGTCAAACAGAGTCTTAAAAATGGTTTCTGGGCCATTGGGTTGAGAAATGGATACGAGTACTTTGCTTTTACTGATCCTCCAGTTCGTCTCAGTCTTCAGTCAGGTCTTGAGAGGGTAGGGGTGTTTGTGGATTATCAGGAGGGTAAGGTCTCCTTTTATGATGTTGATGCTGCAGCTCTGATCTACTCCTTTCCTAGATGCTTCTTCCATACAGAACTCTACCCGTACTTTGGCCCATACCCTAAATATGGAGGTATAAACTCGTGTCCTCTGTTCATCTGTCCTGTCAATCAATCAGCCTGATGTTTTCTCTGATGAAGCTTCATAAACAAAGATCTCATGTAAAAACAAGACCTCCACAGACTGGAATGATATTAATGACTGTAGTCAAGAAAGGGATTGATGCTGTCGAAATACGGAACACCTTTAACTATATTTTGTGTTCTGTTAATAATCAGTTCATCATGTGTTAAAAGTTTTTAAAATAAGTAAMCTTATAATTGGTATATGTAACGATCTGTTTTATTTTCAGTGTATGTGTGTCACTCTGGTCAAAACATGTTTGAAGAACAGGGTCAAAGTCCGGGTTCCTTATTGTTTCAAGGCTGTGCGAAGGGGGCAGATTTTATGGAACCAATAGCAAAGCAGAAGAGCTYCATGACCAGCTGCAGCTTGTTGAGAATGTATGATTCTCAGAAATTACATAAGGATGAGGCTTCAGTATAAAATGTCAAGAATTACAGGGATATGATGAGACGCTTGATGATCGAAGGGAAGTATCGGTCTGGTGTTCTCCCAGATTTGCAAATCTGTTTCTGTGGGTTTTTACATGTAATCTTTAATAAATTATGTTAAATTCTTTAAGGTGTCTCCTACTAATTTCCTCCAAAATCCCAATGGACCCAGGTAAGAGCAACTCGGCTCTTAACAAGGA